AAGGTCAGCTACTCTGTCCTATTCATCTTGGCATCGTGAGTCCCAGCACAAACCCTGGACTGAGAGGAGGTTGTAGTTGCGGGATGGATAAATGAGTAGGTTGCCAGCCCAACCAATTGGTTGAATGACTCCTCCATTTTTAAAGTACTGTTTAAATCTTATGTACTATGAGAAGTCATCTTTGATTTTCATGTACTATGACAAATCTCTTTGTCAGCTGTACGACCTAAATTGTAACTACTGCCCTTTTCTTCCTTTAAAAAAATGTTATTACTAAACAGATCTCTCTACTCTAGATTATAGGGAGAAGTAAGATTCCATCTTGGTAACCCCTTTTACAGGTTTTCACACATGGTGAGTATTGGATAAACATGTGGTAAACTCAATTCGATAAGTTTAGTTCTTTGAGAGTTATTGTGCATGTCGACCAAAACATTTTAACAGAGGTGTTAATCCTAAGCAAACAGGACTCAGAAGAAAATATGTCCTTATAACTTACGTATAATATGGGATTTATCCATTAACAAGGCCTAAGAGTCTACAAATTAAATTATATTGCATATGTGGTATTATCTTAAAACAATTGGCATATAAACAGTGGCACTAGAATTACAAGAGCTGTCTGCTGTTCTTCAAAATTAATTTGCTTTTCCCGAGTTTTTTTTTTTTTTAGGAGCAACATGTACCATGTGACATCCACCATCTTCAGGCAATACAGTGTTTTCTTCCAAGGCTTATGCATGTATTTCGAGAAAATACTTTTATTCTCAGATGAATTTATGAACAGCACACTGTTTTTGTGCTTTTGTGTGTCTGCAGATCATATTCTTTGTTTTTCCAATTAGAGATGGCAGAAACTCCTTTAGCTGCATTGAAAATAAATACCCCTGATTTATGTGTGTGATGTCAGCAGCACAACACTTTTTCCAGTTGTTGTGTTTAATCCTCAGCAGCATCGAAAGTGCTATACAGGGTCATTAAAATTATCTACCCAGCTCAGGTACTTTCCTTAGACAGTGCAAAAGTTAAAGATAATATGATGATCTTTGTCCAGTATGCTATTTTAAGATAGCATTATAGTCCCCAACTAACGAAAAAAGGAACAGGACCCCAAGTATTTCCAATTTCCCTTAGTTATTTCTGTCTAATGTGATCCCTTTAAATCAGGAATTGGCACTCTAAGCCTGATGGGCCAAATCTGGTCTGTCCCTTCTATTTGTAAATAAAGTTTGCTGGTATATTGCCACACCTATTAGTTTTTGTGTTGTCTATGGCTTCTTAGGCATAGGATTCATAAAACCTGAAATATTTACCATCCGGTCCTTTACAGAAAAAGTTTGCTGATCTGCTTTAAGTCTCTCGTGAACTTGTTCATATATTCAGCTGGCTATAGGCTAATCTATTCCATTCAGAAGTTACCCAGGGTCACCCTGGAACCCGTACTTACTAAGGGGCCCCAAGGTTCCCACCGCATTGGGTGCCCCTCCACTTTGCTAGACCCCACTGTGCTTACATCTCTTTTCCTCCTTATACTGAAATGTTCTGTTTTGTTCCTGTCTCTTGACTGGAAGGAAGGACAGGAGCAACTTCTTACTCTCCTGTGATTTCCAAAGCCTAACAGTATCCACATTTAACTGGTGCTTAGTGTTCATTGAATGAATAAATAAACTCTATTTCTTAGTATTAATACATTTCTTAGTCATAATATAAAGCAGCATTTATGGGCCAGGTGTGGTGGCTCATGCCTGTAATCCCAGCAGTTAGGGAGGCTGAGGCAGAAGGATCACTTGAGGCCAGGAATTTGAGACTAGCTTGGGCAACAAGGCAAGACCCCATCTGTGGAAAAAAAAAAAAAAAAAATTAGCTGACTGTGGTGGTGCATGCCTGTGGTCCCAGCTACTCAGGAGGCTGAGGCAGGAAGAGGGCTTGAGCCCAGGGGTTTGAGGCTGTGGTGAGCTATAGTGCCACTGCACTCTCCAGCTTGGGTGACAGAGTGAGATTCTGTGTGTAAGGAAAAAAAAAAATATTTATAGAGATAGAGTTTAGCCAAGACTCTGAATAATCTAGGAACCACTTGTTTTTCATTATGTTATAAAAGGGTGTTTTAAAAAGGATTTCTACCTTCATAATTATACTCATACCCAACATTAGTTCTAACCATGCCAGATATTAAGGGTAAATCTCTTAAATTGGAAAAAAATCTCATAGGTGATCCCAATCTTGTATAGATGACTGAAAATTAAATTACTGTCATCTCCACTTTTTCAGTGTCAGTTCTCAGAGATGGCTGATCTGAGGGTCTGTTTATGATGCATTCACTCATTTTAACAATACTTACTAAGTATCTTTGATATACTAGGCAGTGGTGAAACAGGACACAGTCTTTGCTCACAAGACACACAAGACAAAGTCTTTGCTCTTATGGAGCAACATTCTGATTTGAGCAGGTAGTAAGTAGCCAGCCAAGAAAACGAGCAGCTGGTGGAAAAGGATATGGAAAGGATTGAAATAGAGTGACGTAAGAGAGAGTAACCGGGTAGTAATTTAAACTGGTGCTCACAGACTGCTCCTTCCAGGGAGAGGCATTTGAATTGGAATCTGAATGATAAGGAAAATGCAGTCATGTGAAGATCATGGAGAATTGAATTCTAGGCAGAGAAAATAGCCAGGACAAAGCCCCCAAACCTGGGAAGAAGCTTAGTGTGCTCATGGAAACACAAGAAGGCAAATGTGGTGGTTGTATCGTGTGCAAGGGGAAGGGGGGGCAAAGAGGAGGTTTGGGAGGGAGGGAGGCAGCACTCAGGATGTAGCCTGTGCTGAGGTAAAGACAGAGGCTCTTTCTTGCTTTGGTTTTAAAAGGATTGAGAAAAAATGATTGATCTGGCTTTCTGAGACTCACCTGGCTCCCAGAATGGCCCAGGGAGGGTAGGGTGTTAGATGGAGAATCTGCTGCTGGCAAGCTCAGCCACTCACACAGCACCCCGGAGCTCTGGAGCCCAGCCCTGTGTAACTCCAGGTAGAGTCCTGTGGGGCCTACCTGTGTGGCCACTTCAGGCTGAGATGTCCGTTTCCCCATCCTCTGGGTCCCAACAGAACAAAGACAGTGATCACCCACATGAACACATGCCAAGTAAGCACCCTTAAAAGTTCTTATTTCATCTTGTTGTCAGTTGCATATAAATTTCTTTGCATATTATATGCAATTAAGATGACTTCTTAACAAAGGGTTGGATTGCAGGGAATATATATGTTAGAACAATGTTGCACAAATGGCTGGTAATAAATATTTACCTAAATGAGAATTATGAAGCCTTTTTAGTGACATGTTGTATTACTATTCCTAATGGTCAGTGAAAGTAATAAATGCATATATTATATGATCCTGTGGTTGCGTGTACAAAGGACAAAACATCTGACAGATTCTGCCATGTTGATTTAATTCCCCAAACATTTTGACTCATTAAAGATCGGGTCAAGCCAGTCCTTAGCATCAGACAATTTTTTTTTTTTAAACTTCTGATCAATATTCTATATTATAAAATTTAGCATTTTAACTGCATTTTTATTTCT